ATGTCCCCACTGTCCCAGTCCCTGCAGGAGGTGTTGGATGTGTCCCCACTGTCCCAGTCCCTGCAGGAGGTGTCCAGCCATGTCCCCACTGTCCCAGTCCCTGCAGGAGGTGTTGGATGTGTCCCCCCTGTCCCAGTCCCTGCAGAAGGTGTTGGGATGTGTCCCCACTGTCCCAGTCCCAAAAGGCAATGTTGGGTTGAGAAGGAAAAGGCAATCCCGTGTTGGGAAGCTGAGGATTGCCTGTTCCCAGTTGGAAGCCCAAAGCAAACTCGGGGCACTTCTCAAGCAGCTCCTCCAGTGGCTCCTGCATTACAGCACAACCCCCAGAGTGAGACACCTGCTCTGGCCTTTCCCTTTCCCTGCCCTGCTGGGACTGACATGTGTCTGATCCGTTAATGAATTCAGGAGTCCTGGCAAAGGGGAGAATTCCCCCAGCTTGCTGGTCTGTGGCAGAGGGAAGACTTTGGCTCCACTGCCTTCCCTCAGCCAGGCCCAGCCCACCCCACCACTCCTGGCCTCCCCCAGGGCAGCGGTGCCAGCACAGGGAGTTTGTTTTCCAGAGGCATCACGGTGCCAACCACGACCTCCTGTCGGGGAGGCACAGCACGGAAGCAGCACAGAGAAAAGGAACCTACAGAGGGAAATGTGAACGGATTTGTGATCTGATGGCACTTCAAACAGGCTGTTTTGGTGAGGCTGAGCAGCACCTCGCTGGAAGAGCCGGATTTAGAGCCCCAAGGAGCCCCACAGCACCTCCTGGCCGAGGTGTGGAGCTCACGCTGTGGACAAGGGACACCCTTGTCCTTGGGGGGCTGAGGAGCCATTGGTCAGGAGAACATTAATTGGTCAGGGAACAACATTAATTTGTCAGGAGAACAACATTAATTTGTCAGGAGAACAACATTAATTGGTCAGGAGAACACGGACTCCAGCTCTGATTGAGCAGCAGCACAACTGAGTGCTGAGGGTTTTCAGATTTGAGTGCAATTGCACCGAGGAACCCAGAGCGATTCTACTGCACTAAATCAGATCAATCCCTCACTGCACAGGGCTGAAGCAAAGCGTTGGGAGAGGTGGAAAATACTCAGTGGGGAAAGAGCTGGAGGAAACAAGCACAGAGCCAAGCAGAAATCAGCTCAAAGCTGTGGTGGGCAGGAGTCCAGCGTGGCAACTACTCTTCCAGGCCCAGTTCTGGACCCTCTACGCTTTTCACACCAGAAAAAGCCACACTACAAATGAGCTTTGCAGTTCTCACCTTTCCAATATTTTGACAATTTAGCCTCCAGCTTTTCCTTAACGACCACACTGTCAAAGGAGTGAGCAGAAGAGCCAGTCAATGAAACCCCCTGGATTTGGGGAGGGCCAGAGCAGCACAGCCTGACACGGAACCGGCAGAGGGTGTGGACATCCAGGGTTCAACACCTTAGTTCTCCATTCAGAAACCAGCTCCAGGAGAATTTGGTATTCAAGATGTCAAAAGGAAACCAGAGGAGCATCAACTGCCCTCACCCTCCAACCTGCAGGTGATCCAACACTCATGAAAATGGGAATTCTCCCATTTTCCTTGAACTGTATCCCTGTGCTTTGCTCCTGTTCTTCCCTCTACAGCACGTGCTCTCATCTACATGTATGAAAAGGGGAAGCAGAGTGACCTCAGGGCTGCCCAAACCAACACCAGTGCAACGGTGTTGTATTAAAATCACCCCATCAGTTCAGCAGGGAGGGCACAACCACAGAGTGACAATAATGCCACGGAGCAGGAACCCCAGGGAGGTGGACAGGGATGTAAAGCCCATGTCCCAGGCAGCAGCAACGGGCTGAACCTGCCACTGCTGCTACCAGGAAACATTAATTTGCAAGTCAATCAGCTTAACATTGTTCTGTTTGTGTCATTTTGATCTGCAATGAGTGAGACAGCAGGGCCTGATCCAACACGAGGGGGAGCAAAAGGTGACAGGGATGAGAACTGCCAGGAGCTGCAGGCAGGACACAGCCAGGCCTGGGTCCAGCTGCACACCAACCCCTCCTGCAGCTCTTCTGGCAACGGGATGCTCCCAATGGAATCACTTCAAGCAGTGTCTCAGAGAAACACTCCTCCACTCCTGACCCCTGCACAGCCACCATTCCAAGCCCAAAGCTCCCATTTGCCACCCCACCCCCACCAGGCACCACCCCTGGCTCCCAGAACACGGACCCAGGTGGGTACTCACACGATGTGGGCGAGGTCCAGGGGCTTCTCTGGCTGCTCAGGGAACAGGGGCCGGGGGGGTTCCCTGCTGGGGACACAGCCCAGGGACCTGCTGATGGCGTGGCTCAGCTTCTTCGCCGGGGACTTCTGGGGTGGGGAAGGAAAACAGCAGTGAGGGGGCTGTTGGGAAGAACAGGGAGCACCTGCAGTCAGAGTGCAAAAGAGGCACAGGACAGAACATCCAGAAATACCCAGTTCTGCCACACCATTCCTGGGAAATCACTGCAGGCACTGCACAGGGGAACGAGGGCTGGGGGGTTCTTTTGTGCTCCAATATTGAAAACTGAAAGGAGTTTAACAAAATGATGTAAGATTAAGAAATAAACCAATTATCTGGGGGCTCTGTCAGGAATTAAAGTGAGGGACAATCACATCCCATTAAGGGATTTTTTTCACTCACTCTCGAGGTCCTCTGAACACAGATGTGTTTGGAGGGGAGGAGCAAGATAGGAGCAGGCCACATCCCAGTTTTCTGTCCATGATGGGCAAAGCCAAGGTGGAACACAGTGTTGGGACAGATAGGAATGACCAGTTTCTTTATTCCCTTTCACAAATTCATTCTGTTGGACAACCTCACTGGAGGAATGATCCCACATCCTCAGGAACACTGACAGGCTGCTGACAAGCACTGCCAGACCCACAGGAATGGTGACCTGCCCTGAGTCATGTGTGCAAAACATGGTTTAAATCCCATATTGACTTACAAAGTTGTCTTAAAATGTTATTGAATCCACTGAGCTCCCGGCAGGGATGTGGGAGTCCCTGCAGGGATGTGGGATGGTCTTTTCCAACCTTAATGATTCCATGATTATGGGCCCTGGCACAGGTTGCCCAGAGAAGCTGTGGCTGCCCCTGGATCCCTGGAAGTGTCCAAGGCCAGGTTGGAGGGGGCTTGGAGCACCCTGGGCTGGTGGGAGGTGTCCCTGCCCATGGCAGGGGGTGGGACTGGATGGGCTTTGAGGTTCCTTCCCACCCAAACCATCCTGTGATTCTCTAACACTAATTAACAATTTCAGACTTTGGAAAAGCTTTCACGAGCCCAATTTATGCTCTTATTTATCTCCAGCTCTCAGTGGCAGAGCAGGCTGGTGTGACTCTTATTTTCAGAGGCTCCCAACCCCTTCCCATTCCCTCCTGGCACTGCCCCAGGACTGCAGAGCGTGGCCAGCTCGGCTGCTCCGCCCCATCCCCTTCCCCTGGGAATGCCTGGCAGGGGATCCATCCCGGATTCCTGCCTGGAATGGCACAGCCATGACTCAGCAGGGGCTGTGCTGCCGTGGCCCTTCGGGCAGGGTGATATAACTGCAGCTGATGATCCCAGAGGAGCCAGCACAGCAATGCAGTGCGGGCACGAGGTGACCTCCCCGGGCCCAGGCACTCCTGGGTTTGGGCTCCCTCCAGGAGGTGAAGTCACAGCAGCTCCTTCCCCTTTCAGTGACTGTCCAGCTGCCAAGGCACCGGGAAGGTTTCTCCTCTGCACTGTTCCAGGAGGTTTGGGAGGCTCACGTGTCCCTTTGGCTCCAGCTCCGTGCCAGCAGGGCTCTGCAGAGCCCAGGGCAGCACCAAGGACACCTCCTGCTCCCCAGCACAACAGACAGGGCAGGGTCACCTGGGAGACTGGGAACAATTCCTTGCTGGAAAGGGCTGTCCAGCCCTGGCACAGCTGCCCAGGGCAGGGGTGGAGTCCCCATCCCTGGGGGGATTTAAAATCCCTGTGGATGTGGCACCTGGGGACGTTGGGTCAGTGCTGGGGGATGGCTGGACCTGATTATCTCGGAGATCTTTTCCAACCTTAACAAGCTCACGATTCTGTGATTTACATAAACTTCACCAGCTTTCTGAAATCCTTCCTTCAGCAAATTCTCAGCCTTTTTCACATATTGAGACCCACCAGTGCAGGACACTCACCCTCTGCCAAATACGTCAATAAACACCCAAAAGAAACAGTTTCTGCTCCTTTTTCATCCTGCACAGAATAAGGAGACCCTCGGGAAACGTTTGCCACCGGTCACTGCAAGGGCTTAAGGAATCAGCACCCGCAGGGCCTTTTCCAGGGGTTGCTGTGACTGACTCCATCCCGACATTCCCGGTCTCCGTGTGCCCTCTGCTGGGAAACGCCGCCCTACAAACGGAGTTCCAGGGCACTCGGAATCGGGGCTCACCTGACTGTCCCTGCACACACGGCCGGGAACGTGCGGGATCGCCCCGGGATACCCGTGGGATACTGGGATATCTGTGGGATACCGGGATACCTGTGGGATACTGGGATACCTGTGGGATACTGGGATATCTGTGGGATACCGGGATCTGCGTGGGATACTGGGATCTGCGTGGGATACTGGGATCCACGTGTGGGATACTGGGATACCTGTGGGAACCGTGTGGGATACTGGGATACCCGTGGGATACTGGGATCCGTGTGGGATACTGGGATCCACGTGTGGGATACTGGGATACCTGTGGGANGTGGGAACCGTGTGGGATACTGGGATACCCGTGGGATACTGGGATCCGTGTGGGATACTGGGATCCACGTGTGGGATACTGGGATACCTGTGGGATACTGGGATACCCGTAGGAACTGTGTGGGATACTGGGATCCGTGTGGGACACTGGGATCCACGTGTGGGATCCACATGGGATACAGGGATACCTGTGGGATACAGGGATACCTGTGGGATACTGGGATCCACGTGTGGGATACAGGGATACCTGGGATACTGGGATCCATGTGGGATACTGAGATCCCTGTGGGATACTGGGATCCACATGGGATACTGGGATCCACGTGTGGGATACTGGGATCCACGTGGGATACAGGGATACCTGTGGGACACTGGGATACCTGTGGGATCCTGGGATCCACGTGTGGGATACTGGGATCCGTGTGGGATCCTGGGATCCGCGTGGGATCCTGGGATCCGCGTGTCCCACGGCTGGGGCCAGGCACAAACACGCCCAGAAAGGTTTAATTTTGCTTCAAGGCCGTCTGAGTGGGAAATTAAACGAGCCAGAAATAGGAAAGACACAACTCCCTGTGCCAAATGTCAGCAGCAGCTCCCGGAGCACCGCTGGGCAGGGGGAAGGGGCTGTCCCTGCTTTAGATCCCATCCCGGGTAACCATTCCCAGAGGCATCCAGAGGTGTCCTCGCTCCAGGAACACCTAAACCTGCCTTTGGTTTGTTTATCTCTGATCCAAAGGCACCGGTTAAGGTGGTTTTTAAGCCACAAACATTCCATTATTTACAGCAGGAGGAGCGTCCTGACCCACCCACAGCCGAGGGACTCCCCCAAACCACATCTGAGTATTTCGATTATAATATTAACTATCAAATAATAAATTTAACTGTAATAATAATTTCAACTGACCCGAAATTTACTGCTGGCAGATTGTTTAAGCTCAACAAACTGACCCCAAGCCCCCCCAGCCAGGATGAGCTCTGGCTAATCCCCAGGCTTTCAGGATGAACAGCTGGATTTTGGGTTCTGCTGCGTGCACAGAACTCACTGAACCCCGTCCAGGGCTATTCAGAAAAAAACAAAATTGAAATGGCCCAAAAGGAAACATTTGGAAAGTGTTTGAAGGTTTTTTTATCCCCCCAAACAGGCCCCAACGAGCAACGTTTTCATGCAGCAAAACCTCTTTCAAAAATAGGTTTCTACCTGAACTTATAAATATAAAATCACTATAGTAATAGATTTTAATATACTCACTGGAGTAATATATATATTTATATGTACTAAAAATCTCTATGTTATGTGATTTACAGCATGAAAAAACCTGCCAAAGGCAGTTCAGAACTTCAGAAGAAAGAACCTATAATAATAAGTGTATTAATAATAACATTCACAATAAGCATAATTACTAGTAAGTGTGTTAATAATAACATTAATAATAAGTATGAGGTACTTATTATTAATAGTTATTCTGGGTCATACAGCTGCAGAACTCTGAAAATACACCAGGCAAGACTGAACCAGTTGTGTCTGCACTGAAAACCTGGGAAAAGCAAACCTCTGGTTTGCCTGTCCCAGAGTACCTGCTCAGCTGGAGCACCTGGGCTTTCCCCCAAGGAATTCTTGTGGAGCAAACACACAGGGGAGTCACTGAACCAGCAGCACAGTGCACATCCAAAACCAGGGCATGCTTCTTTAAATCCAGATTCGTTTTCAATCGTTATAAAGTTAACATATAAGATTCACAGAAGTTAAAAAATGAAAAGCAATGGATATGTAAAAGATCTCTCTCTCAAAGGTTCCCCTTCCAGGCTCAGTTTATGGGAGACAGCCCAGTCTCCCATAAACAATTTCATACATCCCTGAACTGTTCAGCCCATTTAAAACACTTTGTTGCTTGAAATAAGCAGCAAGTGGCTAAAAAGGCTCAGAAATCAGTTTTTAGAGCTAGAGCCAGGAGTATTTTAGCCTCCTTCTGATTGCCTTCCCACTTCCTGAAACCCCTGGAAGTGTCCAAGGCCAGGCTGGAGGGGGCTTGGAGCAACCTGGGCTGGTGGCAGGGGGTGGATGAGCCTGAAGGTCCCTCCCCACCCAAACCAGTCTGGATTCTATGGTTTAGATACATCTTCATACCAAAAATCCCAGACTGGATTTATGTACACTTTAAGGGGATAATAACCTACTCTTAGCTCAGATTAAACATTCCACAAGTTTAATACCCACAGAGTTATAAAAAGGACAACATTTAAGGCTAAATTTTCCTTTCCCTCCCGACTCCTGACTGGTATCCAGCCCCAATTTTCTAAATTTAACAGCAATGCTATAATGGCACTTTCTTGTGCAGAGAATTACTAATTATAATCCAATCAACATCTGAACTTCTCTTTGAATAAAGAAAAGGTTGGCTTTAATCTTTTGCCATAAAATAGGTTTTTCTACATAAAACTGTCCATTATTTCTTGAGCTGTGATTATCAAGCTGCATGTTATTGCTCAGATGATTTCTTTAAGAGTTTTCCAGGCACATATTTACACCTGGCAGGAGAATGGCAATAATGTGTTTTTCTCTTAAAGAAATTCTGTCTTTAAAGGTGCCACTGGATAAAATACCTGTGTGAGCACAGCATCCATGGGAACTGGTTACCTTTCTGGGCAGGACAGCAAGGGCAGTGTTTGGGGATTTTTAAGCTACAAGAGAGGACAGTGTAAGAAAAGTGGGACTGATGTGAAGAGAAACACCCACGTTAAGGGGCTGAGCAGGACCTTCAACAGCTCCTGAACCCAGGGACAGCCACCAACAAATCCACGTTGTGGGGAACAGAACCACGGGATTGTTTGGGTTGGAAAAGCCCTCCCAGCCCATGGATCCCCCCTGTGCCTGATGCCCAGCTTGTCCCCAGCCCAGAGCACTGAGTGCCACGGCCAGGCCTTCCTGGGACACCTCCAGGGCTGGGCACTCCAGACCTCCCTGGGCAGCTGTGCCAGGGCCCTCTGCCCCAGCCTGGGGTGTTCCAGGGGGTTGTGGTGACCCAGGGGCAGGACCTGGCACTTGGCCTGGTTGTCCCTCACACCACTGACCTCAGCCCATGGATCCAGCCTGGCCAGACCCCTCTGCAGGCCCTTCCTGCCCCCCAGCAGACCCACATCCCACCCACCCTGGTGCCATCCACGACCTGACTGAGGTGCCCTCGATCCCCTCGTCCAGATCATCAGTGAAGGTGTTAAACAGGGCTGGTCCCAGCTCTGATCCCTGTGTGACCCCACTGGAGCCCATTCCCAGCTGGATGGGACTCCATTCCCCACCTCTCCCTGGGCCACCAGCCAGGTTTAACCCAGCAAGAACAAACAACAAACCCAGCACTGTTCCTATTTACACCCTTTGGCCATTTGGGGACCTTGGGAAGCCCCGGGGGGGTTTCTGGGCTAAAGTCTGTGAGTTCCAGCAGGAATGAGCAGGGGGTGGCTGCTGCAGCCCGAGTTACCCAGGAGGAGTGCTCCTTCATCTGGTGCTGGTTGCTGTGGGGGCCGCTGGCGTGGCCTCGCCAGAAGCAGCTCTGGCAGAGCTGGTAGTTGTGGCACTGCTGGCACCGGTACCGGAATCCCATCATGCTCTCACAGTGGCAGTACGAGCACTCCACGGGGTGGAAGACTGGCAGGAGGGGGGGAAAAAAGCAAAGGGGAAAAAAGCATGAAGTGGGATTCAGGGAAAGCTCGAGCGTCCCGTTTCCTTGCAGCTCCCAAACCACCCCCAGGGCCCTCAGCACTCGTCATTCCCAGTGGGATTGTGAGAGGAACAAACCAAAGAGGAACATCAGAGTGAGGTGAGGGAGACTGCACCTTCCCATGGGAAATGTATCCTGAAAGGTGAGGGAGAGGGAGCAGAACCAGAACCAGGGCCTCCTCATCCTCCCAGGGAATAATCCCTTCCCACCCTCCCAGGGAATAATCCCTTCCCAATGTCCCATCTCTCCCTGCCCTCTGGCACTGGGAAGCCATTCCCTGTGTCCTGTCCCTCCAGGCCTTGTCCCCAGTCCCTCTCCAGCTCTCCTGGAGCCCCTTTAGGCTCTGGAAGGGGCTCCAAGGTCTCCCTGGATCCTTCCCTTCTCCAGCTGAGCACCCCCAGCTCTCCCAGCCTGGCTCCGTAAGTTCTCCCCCACCTTTTCAAAACTGTCCCTTCTCTTCCCTGGCTCCTGCAGCCAGCAGAGGTTCCCACTGATAAAAGGGGACAAAAGCACCACAGTGTCCTGAACCCAAGAGCCCAAACCCTGACAGGGTGACCTGGGAAAGCAACAACACATTTGATAAAATAAACCCTGAGGCACAACCCCCCAGTGACAGCACCCCATGCCCTGCCAAAGGCCCCACAACTGCGGGTAAAGAGGAGACTGGAGCAACCAGCATCAGGAACATTGGATCAGGGCCAAGGCATCTGCCAGCAAGGTGGAAACCAAAGAGGTGGGAGCTCTTTGGGGTGGCTGCAGGGCTTTTTGGGGTTTTACTTGCATATCCCATTTACCATTTTCAACATGGGCGAGTCTGTGCATGAGAGGGAGCCACACAAGGCACTGGGGGGGAGGATCAGCCATCAACGTGTCCAAAAACATGTTTAGCGTGATCTTTTTCTGCAGAGAAAAGAGAAAGAGAACTTGATTGCATAGAAAAACTCCGATTTTATACACCAAAAACTACTTCAGCCTTAAAATGTGTCTATGGCACAACTTGTGCCTCCCAGGAACACTTCACAGACTGTCTGAGAACCCTGGAATCCCAGATGGTTTGGGTGGGAAGGACCTTAAAGCCCATCCAGTGCCACCCCTGCCATGGGCAGGGACACCTCCCACCAGCCCAGGTTGCTCCAAGCCCCATCCAGCCTGGCCTTGGACACTCCCAGGGATCCAGGGGCAGCCACAGCTTCTCTGGGCAACCTGGGCCAGGGCCTCCCCACCCTCCCAGCCAGGAATTCCTTCCCAATATCCAGTGTAAATCTGGAGCCTCGTTGGTTCTGAAATCAAAGGTTGTTCCCTACTGTGTCATTTCCCAAATACACCAGCTGCTAATTAACTCACACTTAGTGACTACAAATTTCACACCTAAACACTGCAAAAGTATTTCTTCTGGAACATCACCATGCCCAGAGCCTGAACATTTAATCTGAGGCTCAAGATCCCCCAGGTTCGTGTTTACAGTTGAGTTAAATGCTATTTACGTTATCTCAGACGAGAAACAAATCATTGGAACAACTAAATCACAGCTGAAATCGACTCAAAAATAAACTGCCTGTAAAGAAGGTGTTTATTTGGTACAGACCCAGCCAACAAGGAAGGGACTCGTTGAAAGGAATTGTGAAAAAGCTTTAAAAAAAATCAACAGAAAATAGTAAAAATGCCATGTTTCATGTTTTGGAGAAGAAATGGCTCATCCCTGCTGCTCTGGGGTGTGACCTCAAGGAAGGGAATCAACTACAGTGGTGGAAAATCCTTTCATTGCCTGTTTTAGGCTGTCTTAAAAGTGCTTGGGATACCAGCAACCCCTCCCTCCAACCCTGCCCAAGCCATGGACTCGATGACCCAGGAATGGCAAGTCCTGGCGTGGGAATCCTCACCTGCTGAGGGAAGCAGGTCCTCACGGAATGCTCCGTGTACCCGAAGGAAGGCCCCTCAAACACGGCCGTGGGGAGCTTCAGAACCTCCCTCAGAAACTGGTCAAACTTGGTAAATATCATTAGTCCGTTGGAATCTGATATCTGAGAGAAAATATCTGTAAGAAAATATAACAAAACCCCACAGTAAATACAGATTTGTTACGGGGAAAAAAAGATTTCAATCCGTTTGAACCCCGAGATGTCTCTGTTTTATCCAGAACATAATTTCTTGTCGCCTGCTATCAAGATAAAATTTATAAATGCATGTATTCCAACATGCCATGATACAAATCCTCCTGTTTCCTCCATCCCATCTCATCCAGTCCAGAGGGAAAATGCTGCCAGTGCATGAACTGGGACAGAAAGGGGGCAGAGCAGGAGGAATGTTACCCAGCATCACACCTTCAGTGACCCCACAGGAAACCCCCTGAGGAACCTCCTCCAACCAAACCCAACCCAGCTGTCAGTCCCACAGTCACACCTGGCAGCACTCCAGGGAAATGTGGGAATGGAAGGAACACAACATCACAGGATCATGGAATCACTGGGGTTGGAAAAGCCCTCCAGGATCACACAGAGCCCACCCTGTGCCCACCTTGTCCCCAGCCCAGAGCACTGAGTGCCACGGCCAGGCCTTCCTGGGACACCTCCAGGGCTGGGCACTCCAAACCTCCCTGGGCAGCCCCTGCCAAGGCCTCACCACCCTTTTCGGGGAAAAATCCCCCCCCCTTGCCACCCGGAG